ATATCATTTTTCTCAAAATAATTGAAAAAATACCCATGTTTTAAAAAATATCACAAAACTACGTCGTTTCAATGAATTTTTATTAAAAATAATTAAAATACCATATTTTTAAAAGGTATTAGTGTATATCAATTTTAACTTCCAAAAAAATTGGAATATCAACTTATATTTGAAATTGAAATCTTAATTTAAAATTTTAAAATCTATTTTATTAAGTGTTGATACATAAATTTGGAAAGTAATTATATTAAAAAATATTATCAGTTCCCAAATTTGAAAAACAACTATTAATAAAATAGATTTTTAAATTTTGAATTAAATTATAATTAAATAAAATAAAATAATTTAAAGTTGAAACTTCAATTTAATTTAAAATATGTACTTTTTTTATTTATAAAATATGAGTTAAACTTTTTTTTAAAAATCTTTTTCATAATATGTTATTGGAATGACTTAATTTTAAGATAATTTTTTACCTAATTTTAAGTGATAAACAAATAAATACTAATTTTGAATATATCTCAAATATATTTATGTATAAAATGTAAATTTAAATAGATGATATTGTGCCTCAGTCCTAACATAAAAAAATAAAATAATAAATTTCAACTTTAAATGATGTTGTTTCATTTAATTAAAATTTAATTTAAAATTCAAAAATTCATCTTATTAAATGTTAGATCTTGCATTTGAAAATGAAAATTAATTTAAAATTTATAAATTTACCTTATTAAATATTGATACATTGATTTAGAAATCAATTAGAAACCAATTATATTATATTAGATTATATAATTAATTTCCAAATTCAAGTATCAATATTTAATAAGTTGGATTTCTAAATTGAATTATATTTTAATTAAATAAAATGACTTAATTTAATATTAGATTTTATTTTTTTAAGAAATAAAAATTGATATGTATTTTTCATATTTAAATATATATAAAAAGAAAAATGTATATCAATCTCGACTTTTAAAATAAATTAGAATTTTAATCTTAAATTATATTATTTTATTTAATTAAAATTCAATTC